ATGAACCCACATTTTCATGTGACAAAATAACTAATTTGCAAAAACTTGGGGCCCGCCTCTCCCAAAAATTTTTATAAACCCTTTCCAGGGGGTCCAAAATCGAAAAGGGGTAAGTGAGAAAAAGTAAAAGTGCTCATTTGACCACATAGCCCATAAAATTCATAAGTGATAAAATTTAAAGTAAAAAACCCCTGAAAAAAGGGTTTAAAATGACAAAATAGGACCAAAACTTTTCCCCCACCCCCAGAAAAAAAAAAAAAAAAATAGCGATGCAAATTCTACGTTCCCAGAACAATAAGGGTTTGGGTTTTTCCCTGGGGTGGGCATAATAGGAAAATTTAGAGATAACTACTTAGCATGATACAAATTTTGGGACTGGGAAAAATTGCGCCCCCGTCAGAAAAATTTAAAAAAAACCCAACCCCATATGGGGTCGTTTTTTCAAGAAAGGGTAACATAAGACAATATTTTTTTTCAAAACACCAATTAGAATGCTTATAAAAATTCCCTAAAAAGGCAATTAATCACTAAAAATATTGGGGCTGATTTTTGCTGACATCTGTGGACAATGACAGGGACCCCGAGAAAAATCCCAACAGGGCATCATACGTTTACCAAAAAAATCAGGGAAAAAAAAGGGGTTTCAAACCCGCCCCTATTTGAGGGAAATTGGGCCCGTTTCACAAAAGGAAAAAACAAATACCGAAAAATTAAGTTTTGTCCCGGGCCTTTTTTAGATTTTTAAAGGCCCGATTTAAAAAACAAATCAAGATCTCCCGCACAAAGCCACCCCATCCCCCACCCTCAAGCGCACGTAATTTGCCAAAAATACAAAAACACCCAACCATTAACTCCCGCCTTCCACATTTAAAATTCCCGAACTACCTTAGGGTTTCTACCCCAGGATGAGTTACCCCCGCCCCTTTTCCCCCCCCCCTTTAGTTGCAGTAACCCCTGTATTGTAAGCCCCTTTGTTCAGGGGAAAAAGGGCCACCCCCCCTCCCAAACCTTAAAAAAGGGCTATTCCCCAAAGGGCGTTTTTATAAATACCCCCCTGCAAAACCTTTAAACCCCAACTGCTCCCCCGGGTTTTCCCCCATACCCCAAGGAAAATAAAGGAAATCACCACCCCGTACAGTATTGGGTCCCCTTCCCCCCCTGAGAAACCCTAAAAAACCCCCCCCCAAACACGTACGAACCCTCCTTCCAATGTTTCACAAAAATAAACCCCCATGAAAAAATTTTTTTTTTGACCGCAACGTAACAATTCGGCCCCCTTACCAAACCCCTCCTGCCCTTAAAAAAACCCATTTTGATGCTAAAATTCCCCTGACGAATTTTGGGCACTAATTTGAGAAACCCTCGGCGCCAACTTAAGCTTACAAAAACCGGGTTTCCCTTTTTAATCCATAACTATTTGTTATACCGAATAAAAATTACTTACCAGCGGCAAAAAAGAAACCCCCCGTGTGGAAAATTAACAACCCCGGGGCAAGTTAAATTTGGAATTAGTTCTTACAGTGGTTTAAAAAGCTGGGAAATTGCGGGTTGGGATCCCTTTATTAATGATTGTAAATTTAAATTTTAAAGGGCAGTAAGCACGTGTAACATCCATTTAATAACTTTTTTTACTTGTATAAAGAATATTTTGCACAAAGTAAAAATTTTTTACTGGGGTAAAAAAAAAAGAAACTTGTCATTGTAAATTTGCGTGCAAAGAGGGACGATTTAGAAATGGGATTTTTAAATGGAAAGATCTTACGGAAGGACGAAAATTTTGGGAAGTTAAACCCGGGAAAAAATTGGGTGGGGTCTAAGAGCAGCACTACCCTTTTAAAGGGGTTTCTAATTTGGGAAATTTAAATTAAAATGGGTAATTAGGGGAAAACCCCGGGAAAAGCCCATAAGTACGGGGTCGCTAATATTTCCTGTAAATTAGACCAGAAAAAACTTTCTTTGCTAACGGGTGTTTTTGGTTTTTAAACAAGAAAAAAACTGAAACTTTTTTTGGCATAATAAATTTTGAATAAATAATTTAGGGAAAAAAGACAATATTCGGGTTTCTTTATTTTAAAGTGAAGATACCCAAAGGTTGTACAAGTGTTCTATAAGATATTAAATAAAAGGACACATGTACCTTGTGATTAAATAACCCAATTTCCACAGATTTAAATGACTTGAATCGTCCTTAATCGCCATTTCTAACACAAACAGAAAAATAATGCAGCTTCGTCATCTCTGAAGTATTAGCAAGAATAGTCTTTAAAACAATAAAACCTGTTATCACATAGCTACTACGAGTTATATTACGCTTTTACATCTCACTCTAATACTTATTTACACCCTCTGTGTCCCTGTATGTAATGGCTCGACAAAGCTCCTGGGAGCGAAACGTTACAACAATAAAATGTCTCATTAGGTGTACTTGTGTCCTTTCACCTAACATAATGTTGGTAGACTTACCGACGATATTACAATTGTGTCATAAGATGACTGGTTGAGTGGTGCCGGCGATGTAGACTAGCGCTACAAGACACCAGGAAGAAAAGACACGTTACAGGACAAGTTTTATTGGTCAAGCTTTCACTCCGTGTACTTATAACGTGTGTCAATGGCAGTAAGAATATTGGAACGAAGACGGTGTATCTAGAAAAATGAAAAGGCGGTGTAGCAGATGTCAGTAATCTCAGTGAGAACTATTTTCCGCGGTGCTAATGGATGGGTGAGTAGGACCTGCCTAACATTAGGTAGTAGGCAGTAGTCCTCTAGGCCTATGATCTCATGTTAAAGCTAACAACTGTAGACGCTTTGATCTGTCGTAACAACTTATTGATCGTGAGAAACGCAGAGACCCTAGAAATAGAGAGAGTAAAGTGGAACTCATTTAAAGTTTATTATGAGTGTGCCTTTAGCGATAAAGTTGCCACTGAAAGATAATTACTGGAAATACCGAGTGTATTAATAAGTGTTGTCAAGTATAATCCTGTGCTTGTGTGAGATACAAGATACAAAATCGATGGATGAGGAATGGAAAATTTATTAAAAATTTTCACATATGCGTTTGCTGTTTCTAAGAAGCAGAACTAGACTTTTAGCTAGAAATAATGAGAGTAAGAGTTATGACTAAGACTGATTTTGAGCAGGGGTTTCTCGAGTACCGAAAAGGCTGAATGATGCTGCTATTTCAGAAAATTCAACGCACATTAAAGTCTCTTGTGCTATGTTTGTAAGAATATGTTGGTGCCAGATCATTACTTTCACACAAATAATTCTATGTACTTAACGTATCTCGTAACTCAGGATTTAGTTTACAACCAATTGGACCCGAGTTCAATCTTGTTACAGGTGGTCAAATCTCTTAACATGTACTGTCCATGTTTGCTAAGTAGTAAGCAGATACCCGTTTGTTAGATGACATTTATGGGTTGCATCCTAGCAGAGGAACCAGGAACCACAACAGAAATAAGCTATCCAGTCTTGAATTCTTGGGCATGACCTATTTCTGCTGCACTTAATCTGACTCCAGTATATAGGTGCTCATCTTCCTGCCTGCACTCCAGGATCAGCAAGACTACGGTGGTCAGTACCTGCTCGTTGCCTGAGAAACTGATTACCTCACCTGATTTACCTCTTCGGTAAATAATTCTGCTCGGCTGAAGGACTGATTACCTTCTCTTCTACAGTCTTCTGTTTATGTACCTGTATTGTACTGATGAAGCCGCTGGTTGGCGAAAGGTCTACAAAATAATTTCCATATGCATATCTTAATTCATCATTCTTACATGGGTTATTGTCTCTCCGGAGTTAATAGCCCAAATAATGTCGTTTTCTACTCTCTGTCTCTCTCTTATTCCTTTCATTTTTAATGTATACTTTTTTCAAGAATATTGATCGAGGAGACCACAACTTTTTGTGTTGTTTAATCTGCGCGTCTGTTTATGTGGTACGCTGTATTTATTTTTTTTTTAGGATTTTTATATTAATGTAAATATTAGCTCATTAGTATGACATGTAACAATATTAGCAGTAATAATATTTAAACAATAATGATTATTATGTAGCTCCCAATGAATTACCTAATTACTCGAGAACACCTCATCTTATAGGCTTCAAATTTTCATCTCCGGTGTATTGTAAGAAGGAAAAGCAACTATTGGTATATACAGATACCATCTGGTAATATTGGATAAATGGTCTGGAAAACCGACAAGTTGATTAATAAGATACTTTTCAACACTTGGGAATCTTTGCTGTTGGAACGTCTGGCCAGCCTTTGGCTTCTTTAGTCCGGTACAGAGAAGAAAGATGGAAGATTAGGAGTGTAAGTTTAAATAATAATTGTCTGACATGGTAATTTCTTGAGATCTTGAAACAGGGAATTCTTTGACCTTCTTCCACTAGTGTTTTTGCCCACCGGTGACGCCGTCTCCAACTGCTTCACCTCACCAATCTGCAGTATATAAGCCATTTTTCTGCTCAAATGCTGTACTTTTATCCAGATGGATGGACTGAGCATATCTCCAAACTTAGGGACTGATTACCTCAAACGTCTTCTCATCTTACACCGTTCCTCCCTTTACGAGACTGATGAAGCCACTGGCTGGCGAAACGTTTCTATAAAAATCTCGAAATCTTGCGGCAAAAACAAGAGATTATCTCGTAACTTCACGTTATTTCAAGTGTCAACGGAGAAGAATATCAAAGGAGGGAAAATATCAGGTCCTCTATTTTGTTTCTGGCTTATGACTGTCTCCTGACAACTTCATTTTTGACCTGTCTTTTGGCTTTCTCCTCACATCTCAACCTAACCCTTCTTAAGACTTTCCCCTCAAAATTTCCCCAGACCTGTTTTCTGTCGTTTTCCCTCTTCTCTCTCAACCATGACTAAATGGATCTAAATGGATCATAATCTAGTGTGAAGTTTCTTGTGAAATATTCTAAGCTACGACAAAATTAGTTTTATTTATAGAGTTAATTTTGTGCCTTCCTTTCCTGGACAGGTGTCGTGGGTGCGTCACCGAGACATTCACCTGCTGACAGTGGGACGGTTCACCTACACATCAGATGGACGCTTCTCAGCTCGCCACACTCCGGGCTCTGAGGACTGGCTTCTCATGATACACTACCTGCAGAAGAGAGATGCTGGCATGTACGGGTGTCAGATCTCTACCACACCTCCCAGAAGCCACCTCATCCATCTGTCTGTTGTAGGTGAGTGTTACATCCCCACCATAACTCCCATCCGTATAATATCTGTCAGACAAACATCTTGGGATCTTGATACAGGAAATTCTTCAACGTTTGTCTTAACCTGTTAGCATGATTACTTACACTAATGGATTTTTCCACCGGTGAAACTGTCTCCAACTGCCACTTCTCCACTCATGTGCTGCACTTAAGACTGATGGACTGAACACATGGTCTCCAGTCATAGGAACTGTTTCTCTCTGGATAATGGAACCACTGGCTGGCGAAACGTTTCCACAATAAAGAGGGTGGTGCAAAATTATCTGATTCATCAACCTCTCAGGTGTCACCTCATTCACATGTCTGTTGTGGGTGAATTCTACCTCCTGTCCTCGGTGGCTTGAAGTTACTCTATCCAATCAGCTGTGTCTTGTACCAAGCACCTCAGCCTCTCCTATTATAAGAACTAATCAAATTTATTTAGATCAACATTTGGTTCATTTGAGTTTTTCTAAGTTCATCCTATAGATTTTTTTTGTTTCTGGTATTATCCCGAGGGGCTAATTTATTGAACAGCGTCACTGAAAGTAGCAAATTACAAGAGAATAAAATTCATGCCTCCAACATGTATGAACAACTTCATTTATGTCTGTGGAAATTTACTTCTTTGACTTAGGCTGGTATCTCTGAATATTATCAGATTTCCGAAAGAGTTCCTATGGTGTACATATATGTAGTTAAAATTGTAGCTTCTACATGCATTGATGAGTATGTAGAGTAGGTGTTGTTTCACCGACGTATACTTAGCCACAGTCTCCGCAAGGGATTGTGTAAACACTTACATTGACCAGTTTAGTCCTGGTAAGGTCTTTTATGGATGTGCTGGTTGCAATGGTGCAAGTGCTTTAGAGATGTTCAAGGCAATTTGTCTGCTGGGTCATAATCCACTCCCAACAGCCAATTGCCTTGCTAATCCCATCATTTGTCTCAGTGCTGGAGGTAAAGACGCTGGCAAACATAGGAGTGAAGACCTGATTAATAGGTATAAGTCAGCGATAGAGTTAATTAGGAAGAAGAGAGGGTAGCCTTGAAATGGAGTTGGAAATGATTGGTTGGCCATAGCATTTGTTATTAATTATTGGCTGGACTAACACTAAGAATAATGCAATGTTTCACTTCTGAATCTTTGTTAAGGTGTTACAAATAATACAAGGACACAGACGCTGCTTGTAGTAGTGATGGTAGTAGCAGTAGTCGAGGTAACTCTTGGTTGCTATGTGATGGTGGGGTTTATTGTTTAGAGGAGAACTCTTGCTAATACCTCAAAGTCCAATGATTTCTATTCCAGTTAGAAAGTTAAGACGAAATGAGATATTACCATTGAATTGTTTCTAGGAATATAAGAAATTTACGGTCTTGAGTTTCTTGATGAGTGTCCATACATACACCAAACCTTCATCAAGCTACATTTTTCTTCCTTTTTCATCAAATACTACAAGAAAGGAGCCCTTGAAATCATCAGTTTTCCACGCGCTAACAACACTTCAGACAAAATTATAATCCTTCCCTATGTCTAGATTGCCTCGAACGTTTCCCAAGTGCTCACACAAGCCAACGCTAGAATCACCATCGCAAAAAGCACCTCAAAGACCTGACCAGGACCACATTGAAGAATTTCGAATCAGTCAGTGAAAAGGTACACACAATCCCTTGTGGAGGTTGTAACATGGTATACATTGGTGAAACAGCACGAAGTCTACGAATATGTCTCATCGAACACATCACTGTCTGCAGGAGCGATAACTTGAACGCATGTGTACAACACTGGAATTCCACCAACCATCTGGGAAACCCAGTTTCTGCAAATTCTCTTATCACCAGCTGATTAAAGGTAACTTCGTCCTCTATGAAGTATTAGCAAGAGCTCTTCTCAAAACAGTAAATCCCACCATCAAATAGCAACAGAGCTACCTCTACTACTACTACTACTAATAATAATAATAAAAATAATAATAATTATTACTAACAATGTGCCCAAAGTTTATATTCCACAGATAGAAATTAGGTCAAAACAAAACGATCCCAACTGGATGAATAGGAGACCAATGCATTTACTGGGAGAGATGAAAGAAATTTGCAGATAAGATTTTGCCGACGAAGCAGCTAGTTTATTGTGCACCGCATATCCATCCTGTGGACGGTAGCACAAGAGCATATGGATACACAAAGGCCTAGGAACTATGCCCTAAAAGGGTTTACTGGAGTTTATTTGGATTTATATCTACAGTTCACTTACCTGTTGCAATCAAATTTAAGAAACTTGCTTAATATATCTGGTATCTTATTTTCAATAATAAGATATCTTGAAATACATCATAGGTGAATAAAATATGTCAATGGTGAATAAAACAGTGTTCAAGACAATAACCATAGGGATTACCACATAATTTGCATTTGGTTTCATCATCTGTGTGTCTGTAAAACTGCCAAAAGTACTTCTAAGTCTAAGCCTGGCAACTAAAAATTCAGTCAGTTTGTTCACATTGTAGGTTTCTCCTTAAACGTACTTATCTACGTTCATGTTATCATAAAGGGTTATAGGTCTTTTCAGGCTTCTGACTGTATTCATATAACATTCAGTTTCATTATTTACTTCTCTCCTAATATTATTCCTAATATTAGGCACAGATACTCCAAAGTTATATTCTTCATTGTCCTTCATGGTACTTCTCTTGGCTGACGTATTAACATTATCATGAATGAGTAATCCAATGTTTGATGGAATCCATATCCGTATCCACACCCGGTTTCTGCACTGTGCATGGTGTTAGTCATTATGTGAGCCAAGAGTCGGTACTAATCCGATAGCCAAGCTCAATGTCATAAGATTGCTTTAGAGTCATTAGGATGGCAAACAATTCAGTTTGCAGTATAGACGCGCAGTTGTTAATTCTTACGCCTAACTCAACAAAGATCCTGTCGTGTCGTTCTTAACTAGGGAGGTGGCAAGAATAGAAGATGCAACCCTGTCAGTAGACTCCTGCTTAGATCCATCAGCGTATATAACTTCAGATAAATTATTACTAATAGTTAAGCGAGAGATTTCTTCTTGAGCAGTTGCTTTTACAAGTGATTAAAGGAAGGGATTTATGGGATTTAAGTAAGTGTTGAGTTTCTTGGGAGGAATTTATAGGCACATCAGAACAGGAGAGGGTAATATTGTTGACCACTATGTTCATATTAAAAGAGAAGTAAAGAAGGTGATTAGAAAAGCTAAACCTGATTTCGAAATTAAAGAAGCTAGTGAAAGACAAACCCAAGAGAATTCTTTCAAATAATAGAAAGATCAGGGAAAAACTGGAAGCACTGAAAGTTAGATATGGATAATGAAATCTTCACACAAGAAAAATTAAATAATATTCCTGTAATTAATAGTCATTCAGGTCTTGAAGAAAATTAAGCAATATTACAATCACGAGGGACATTGTTATCTAACAGGTAGACAAACTTCAAGAAAATAAGTCCCCGGGCCTTTGCGAACTGTTTTCAAGGGTACCTAAAGAGTACAATTTGAAACTTAGTCGCTAACGAGCCTATTTAACGCATTTATCTAAACTGGTGTTATGCCGGAGATGTGGAAGATGTCTAATGTAATTCCTATCCTCAAATCAGAGGCTAAGACAATTCCATCAAATTTCCACCCATTGAACTTGACGTCAATATTGGACATAATTTACTTAATGAATCTCGAGGTCCTTCCCGCCTGACAAATTTACTGACCATCTTCAATGAAGCATTTGAAACAGTGGCCCACGATGAAGAGTGATGATTTTCAATTGGTTTTCAGTTAGGCCTTCGAAAGAGTACAACACAAAGTGATGTTAAGAAAAGTGGCAGCTCATTGTTTAGTAAGAAACGTTTTAATGTTGATTCAGGCCTGACTAGGCAATAGAAAGCATAGGATTTGCATAAACGAGGTGAAATATGAATGGAGACTAGTAACAAGTGGCGTTCCACAAGGATTAGTGCTAAGCCCACTATTGTTCATAATTTACAAAAATGGCATTGACGAAGGAATAACAATTTACGTGAGTAAATGTGTTGATGACACAAATATAGGAAGAGCATAAATTTGGGAAGATTTAGACTATTATCATGGTCTGAAAAGTGGTAGATACAGTTCACTGTGGACAAATGTAAGGTTCCATTCTTTAAAGTAAAATAACCCTCGTAGTTATAAACTAGGTGACGTAGTGTGGGGAACAAAACCTAATGTACAGATCAGGACATTTATTAGAGGATAATTTTTGCCAAGATTGACTTCTACAGTCCTAATGAACTGAAGTCACTTCTACAGTCCTAATGAACTAGTCACTCCTGGCGGTGTGTCGTGAAGGAGATTTTTCTTTTATTTAAAAACACTTGATTCATTTGGTTATTCATTACTGTAAATATATTTTATCTCTACTTTCAAACTTTATCAGATTTACACTATCATTACGAAACTGATACTGTCGTGACTAATTTATTCACTCATTATATAAATCATAATCACTTTCCAGAATTCGTAACCATAATTCGTTCCGTATGAACAGCCGGTAATTTACACAGATAACCCGCACATAAAAGAGAAGCTTACGACGACGTCGTAAGCTCCTCTCTTCTATGTGCGGGTTATTTGTGTATTGTTCCAGTCACGGTATTGTGCTTTTTTTTTTGTTATTCAGCCGGTAATGCCAGCAAATTTTAATGAAAGGGTTAATATCCCACCATTCATGACAAAATAGATGCTGGATCTATAGATCCATAGAGCAATTGCCAACGGTGTGAAACAGAAAGAAGGTAGTACAAAAACTTGAAAAGGGAACATTAAACTAGAGGTCAGCGACATACATACTAAGGTAAACAGAGAAACTTTAAAGATGCTAAATCCTTTCTCACAAGCCTGCTTGAATTCTGTTACAAATTATGCAGGGAAGAGAGACAAAGAGAGAGAGAGAAGAGAGAGAGGAGAGAGAGAGAGA